AATAATACAATTCTTTTAACATTCAAAAAATTAATAAGTAAGAAATTTTAAAAAATAAATATGTTTATTGAACAAATTCAAATAGTTATGACTTTTCAAACAATTATCTATTTAAAATCATTATGACTTTTGTTTTTTAATAGAACAATTGTTTCAGTTCATAAAAGCTTATCCAAAATAAAATAATATTATTTTATTAATATTTCAAAATTGAGAAGTTGAAGATTTAAAAAATAAATCTGTTTAGCGAACTAATTCAAATAGGTATAACTATTTAAACAATTATATATTTTAAATCATTATAATCTTTTGTTTTGTCATAAAATAATTATTTATATTCATGCAAGCTTATTTGGAATAAAATAATACTAATCTAATAATATTATAAAAATTAATAACTAAGAGATTTTAAAAATAAATTTGTTTGTCAAACTATTTCAAATAGTTAAACCTATATAAATAATTATCTATTTCAAATCATTATGACCTTTTGTTTTGTTATAAAACAAATGCTTTTGTTCATATAAGTTTGTTTGAAATAAAATATTATTAATTTATTAATTTTTGAAAATTATTAAAAGATTTAAAATATAAATCTGTTTACCAAACCAGTTCAATTAGTTATAACAACTTAAAATTTTATTTATTTCAAATTGTTATAACCCTTTGTTTTGTCATAAAATAATTGTTTCTATTAATACAATCTTATTCGAAATAAAGTAATGCTACTTTATTAATATTCTAAAAATTAATAAGTAACGAATTTAAAAAAATAAATCTATTGGCTTGACCAAAGCGAATAGTTATAACTATTTAAACAATTATCTATTTCATGTTATTATGACCTTTTGTTTTGTCACAAAACAATTGTTTTTGTTCGTACAAACATATTTGGAATAGCATAATTTTAATTTATTAATATTTTAAAAATTAATAAAAGATTTAAAAATTGATTCTATTTATCGAACAAGTTCAAATAATTATAACTATTTGAATAATTACCTATTTCAAATTGTTATAACATTTTATTTTATCATAAAACAATTTTCTCTATTCTTACAAGCATATTTTAATTAAACAAATATAAATTTATTAATATTCAAATAATTAATAAATAAAAGATTTAAAAAATAACTATGTTTACTGAATAAATTCAAATAGTTGTGACTATTTAAACAATTATTTATTTCAAACCGTTATGACTCTTTGTTTTGTCATAAAATAATTGTTTTTGTTCACATAAACTTATTCAAATTAAAATAATATTAGTTTATTAACATTTTGACAATTAATAAATAAAAAATTTTAAAAATAAATATATTTACTGGACAAGTTTAAATAGTCATAACTATTTGAATAATTATCTATTTCAAATCATTATGAGCTTTTATTATGTCAAAAAACAATTATATCAATTCATATAGGCTTATTTGAAATAAAATAATACTAATTTATTAATATTCCAAAAATTAATGAGCAAGAGATTTAAAAACTAGATTTATCTATCGAACAAGTTCAAATAGTTATGACTATTTAATCAATTTTCTATTTCAAATTGTTATGATATTTTGTTTTGTCATAAAATAATTGTTTCTATTCATACAAAATTATTTCAAATAAAATAACATAAATTTATTAATATTACAAAAATTAATAAGTAAAATTTTAAAAAATAAATCTGTTTTTTAACACATTCAATTAGTTATGACTATTTGAACAATTAACTATTTTAAATAGTTATGACCTTTTGTTTTATTCTAAATCAATTGTTTCTGTTCATGCAAGTATATTTGAAATAAATAATACTAGTTTATTAAATTTCAAAAATTAATAAGTAAAAGATTTAAAAAGTAAATCCATTTACCAAGCAAGTTCAAACAGTTATACATGTTTGAACAATTATTTATTTTAAATAATTATGATCTTTTGTTTTATCATAAAAAATTATTTCTATTCATGCAAGTTTATTTGAAATAAAATAATATTAATTTATTAATATTATAAAAATTAATAGATAGGAGATTTAAAAAATAAATCTGTTTATTGAATAAGTTCAAATAATCACATCTATATGAACAATTGTTTATTTCAAAAAATCATTATGATCATTTGTTTTGTCATAAAATAATTGTTTCTGTTCATGCAAAATTATTTAGAATAAAATAATACAGATTTATTAATATTTTGAAAATTAATAAGAGATTTAAAAATTAAATCTGTTTATCAAAATAATTTAAATAGTTATTACTAGTTGAATAATTATCTATCTCAAATCAAAGAGTGGTTATATTATCCGTAACCAGCTCAAATCCTTGAGGGGCATCAACTATCTCTACAATGGTCATTGCACCAAGCAAGAAAAAACGATTCAGCAGATGCATGTTTCAGCTTTGAAACAGCTAAATCAGTTGAAGGAGCCTACAAATGTGAATGGCCCAAGCATTATTACACAAGTATTAACAGATAAAGGCGAAAATAAATAAGAAAATGATAAAAAAAAAAGTTTTCCATACAGAAGTCAGATGCATTAGCATAAGTAGACCATAGAATTCCATTAATAAAGGGAGATAATCATAGTAACCATTTGCAAAATTCCTAGTGATGGTAACAAGCCACACACAAACACAAACTTTGGCTCTCCCAATTGACCATGGGGGTAGGTACCTAGTTTTGCTATCTTAATTCATTGCTATCTTACCCATATGCTCCTTACCACCCATAAACTCATAGCCATCAACAATCTATTCCACTTTTATTGAAGGCTAGAAATTCTTCAAAGATAATGCCTGCATATTTTATTACAAAAAGCAATGCCATAGAAATATGCATTATGAAATTAGATCAAATTAAGAAAGGCTTCTGTGCATAATACAAGAATATACAAAATATTGGCCAAAGATGAAAAAATGATTACAACTTACAAAGAAAGGATTGCACAAGAAATTAAAGATAAACCTGGATGTTGGTAACCCATGATAGGTTAATTGCCACAGTCCCTGTTAAAGCTACTGTGAAAACACCAATAGTTTTCAACAAATTAGTCTTTGGCTGGTAAGTAACTTCAAAATCTAACAAGCTAGCTTCATCAACTCAACATAAAGGATCACAAGGTCCAGAGGTTGAGGTCAGCTCCTGTTGATATGCAAAGGTTATTTCAGTGTGTGGAAAAACCCAAAAATGAAAAAACACAGACATTGTCGTTTTGCTATGATGGTTGGTTTTTATAGCAATTTGGAGAATGCTTTCTAAACAACCTTTTGAGTAATCTTCCCTCATAAAGAGGATCATTACTCAGCCTTAATCCTACCAATGAAGGATGAGAAACCAAGAAGAGTCATTTGAAAAATGTTCCTAGCCTTTAGGATTCAGCATTTTTTACACAATGAGGCTACTTTCAGGACTTGAACTTGCTCATTTGAGCCCTTCAGCCAAAATCTTTTATATTACACCAGATAGTGTCTCCTAATCAACCCTCATATATCTAACTAAATCAATCTGATTTCTGAGCTAAACATCTACAGAAGGTAATTTCCAATAGCAATAGCTTGAAATTCTATCAAATTATTTAACCTCCTCATTAACCAAGATAAAATCTTCAAATGTATGAACTAGCAGTACAGGCAAATGGGTACCCTTAAACTGGAGTACTTATAAGCAAGATAATAGATGACAAAAGACACAAAATGAAATAAAAAAACACTCACCCCAATCATAAATCAATGAACATGCAAATGGGTACTCGTAAAGATAAAATTTTTCATAATGGCATAGGGATGAAAAGAACAAAAACCTTAAGCTGCTTTTCATTGTTGGGTTAAACTTTTTGTTGCCGTGCAATAACTTTCGTTATGGGGTTTACCTAGACTCATAAAATTTTTCATAATGGCATAGGGATGAAAAGAACAAAAACCTCAAGCTGCTTTTCATTGTTGGGTTGAACTTTTTGTTGCCGTGCAATAACTTTCGTTATGGGGTTTACCTAGACTCATAATTGTTGTTATATTATTACATTATAATATAAATCAAATTAAGAATTTTTTTTATTGAAAGAGAAAAAGAACAATACTAATTTTTTTACTTGAGATACTATAACTAATTGAAGGTATGGATCCAATCTATAACTAAAGTTATAAAGGGGATACACTCATTCTTTTTGGTTTCTAACCTTTGGTGACATGGCTAACTAGTAAGACAGGGGATTGCAAATCCCTTATTCCCCGGTTCAAATCATGTTGTTGCTTGATCAACAAAAAACTTGAAACCTTATATTCTGCTTTGCTCATATGACTAAAAAAATTTTCTCTAGCAAAAACAAGTGCAAGAAAAGGACACTTGATACTTTCTTGATTATAAACTTAGCAAGGTTTTGTCTTCAAAAATGTTGTAAATCCTTACGTCTAGGATTCAAGGAAAAATTAGAGTAGGGGAGGGGAATAAAAAATCTTGATATGATATCCCCTCTCCTATTAATGGAGGGGCTGGTAGAAGAGTCTTCAATTAGATTGGATATCATAATGGGAGTGTCTAATTATTAACAAATGAATAGTTGTACAAGGGTAAATAATGAACAACAGTTACCTTTAGGAAGTTTTTCATGCTTTGAAAGCAAGGTTCAGACAACACATCATTGCAACATATGATTAATGCAACATATATGTATGCAATAATCCCTCATTGGAGGCAAAGAGGAATCTAACCCAAAATGAAGCATCACATGCATGTGTTGATCAACAATAGGTGACAGACGCTAAAAGCACCCAGACAAGTAGACAACAGAGCTTGCATAGCATTTTACACATACAGGCCACAACCAAACAGAATAGTCTATTGCAAATCATTGAAAAGGCTACAGATCCTAACAAAAATGTTCACCTAATGGCTCCAGCTACTACTTTGTGAAAATAAGCATGTGAATGCAACCAATCTTTAAATTTTAGCTTTCCAACATATGCACATGGTGTCATTTTCCGCAAACAATAAGAATGAAATCAAATTGATCTTCAGTAATATCAGCATAGTATTTCTCCACAGCTATAAATTTCTCCAAGGCTCGTCCAAAATCACCATGTCGAAAGTAACTTTCATCAGAAGCAAGTTCATACCTTCAAAAGATGGATAACACTCAGTAGGTGTACCCAAATTATAATTAGAGACAACAACATGTGGAAGGTAATAAACAAAAACAGACCACATGCACTGCATGTCATGAAGGTTGTTGTGCTGGCCCCCATCTTTCGTGAACAAAACAGCAGTTTTTCCTGCCAAAGCCACCTTCAAAAGTAGAAAAAGTTTGTGAACAGTACAATAATACCGAAAGAAATTTAGTGACAAATATTAACTATGACAAAAGATGAAGTGGGGAAGCCTTAGAACCTGATCAGACTACAACATTCGCTTCACAGATTCACTGTTTATATAGCGATTTGCAAGATCCATACACCTAGCTTCATCTATCAATGAAGCCACAGCTACCAAATCACCAACATGTTTCAGTATCCGACTCTGTCACCAAAGAGAAGTAAATAATATACACATAGACCCAGCTTCAAGAAAATTCCAAGAACTTCTCCAAAAGATCAAGAAACAATAGCCAGTCAAACTAAAAAACACCAGTAAAACTAATACAAAGAAAAAACCTCACCTGGATATAAAGGTTAGAAGAGGCTTAATGCAATCAATTGCCGCTTTACGAAATTTGTTTCCTTGCAGTAAATCAAGTGGTATCCTCTAAAAATTGAGAAAACAAAGTTTTAATATAAGTCCTAGAACATTCATCACACATCATAAAGGAAGTAGCATTTATTGGCAATAATGATGCACATTGTAACAACAATAATTACAATTCTCATGAACGAATACATAACAAATGTGGGTTATAGGAAGAAAACAATTTAAATACATCCTCACTGCATGAGTCAAATTCCAAAAGCTCTAGAGTTTGACACTTTATTTCAATCATGCCATAACCTGGCCCATCGTCAAAAGGTTTTTATATAGGAAAGTCAGTTTAACTAAAAGAATGAGATAAAGATAGCCACTAATAAAAGAATTAGCCACCATGTCAACTCTCTAGGGGTGAAGCATATGAAAGCATAATTTTAACCACCTAGAGTTCTTACTATTGTCACATCAAGACATCAATGAAGTATTTCAGCATAATACCACAACTATCTATTTCCAGATTATTTAAGAATATCACAAGCCATCGAATGGACTGTGTCTATTGTAGAAGCACATCACTAGATTTTTGTCACATAATTTCCTATCAAGCCATCAAGAAAAACAAGATCCCTACAAGAGTATTTGTAAAAATAGTCGCCCTTCCTCTCTCTAGAAAATGGGAGAAAGCTTGATAGCTCTACAAAAAAGTAAGGTTTTCGTTGGATTTGCATCATGTGATTCTATAAATAAAAGAGAAGAAGAAATCCAGAGTAAATATAATGAATAGAACATCCCAAGGTACCATTTGGAGCTCATTAAAAAAAAATACCAAACAGAAAATCAAATTAATATGACTAACAGCTAAGACATAATAAAACAGCTTACACTAGCAATATCATTATCTACAGTCTATAACGAGAACACATTTTATCATCAGAAAAAAATAGAAAAAAATCAAATCGGGCATTATTTGAAGTAAAAAAATTTAAATAAAATTAAGATGGTAGAAATCAAACCTTCAGAAGGTCTCCAAATTCCTCATTTCAATTTGTCCTCCACCAACTAATTCTCTACTTTGTTTGGATTGACTAATGCCCGAGAAAAATTCCTTCCCCTCAAAGGAATTAATTTCCCTCTTATTAGATCAAGAACCCTAATTTCCCAACCTAATCTTGATGCCTAATCTCAAGAAAAATTGAATCGACTCATTACTTGCTTGATGTCAATATTATCAACAATAATCTATATTCCAAGCCAAAAGGGAATCCAAAAACGAAAAACCTAAATTTGAGAGAAAGAAAATTGAAATGATGAGAAGAATGGCTGAAGACAGTGGGTTTTAAATTTAAAATGCAAAAAAATCTAACCGTTGAAACTTAACCAATTAAATTTTAAATTAAAAATTGACTTTTTAAAAATAAATGTAGTGACTAAATGAAAAACATATTTGATGAAAATCAGCTTTGCTTCTTTTATATAAATGAAAAAAAAATGCACTTCAAAGAAAAAAAAATGCAAATAGAAAAAGTGGAGGAGCCCCATCAATTTTAAAAGAAATTTCATTTTTCTAATGAAAACAAAGTTGAAGAAGAATGGAGGATGTGAATGTTAGCAAAAGCAATTCTGAATTAAAATCTAAATTACCCCCACACCAAACTTTAACCAAAAGCCTAGCCAAGCCAAAGCTTAAAAGTTGCAAGGATGACTAGTGAGAAGGAATAGCATCATTTCTCAAAATTGGCCAGAAGTATGGTGAAAGACTGATAAATATATGCAATTACAAAAAAACCCCTCACCAATTCACCAAAAAAAAAAAGAGCTGATCATTTTATTTGGTGGTTTAGAAATTTAGGTTTTTCTCAAAATAAAGGGAAGGCCCCCCCTTCTCATTAGTCCCATCCCCAAAGACACGTGGTAGTGTTTATGATTCTATGGGGTCAACCATCACTGCACCCCGTGATCAGCTTCTAAAACATTGTTGATAACTATATTATCAAGGAGAAAATTAACAAAATCATGAACGAAAAATTGAAATAATGAATCAATTGATAAGAAAACCAAGTTAAATATATCAAATCTTTTTTGAAGACATTGTGTGTTCTTAGATTCTCTTTATATTTATGACGTTTTTATTTTATTATCTTTTTTTGTAAAAAAAATTTTAAAAATAAGAGAAGTTATCTTATTTTTAAAAATTAATAAATTATTTATTAATAAAAAATCACTAAAGATTTGAATCTAATTATCATAAATCTATATATTTTACATCTAAATCTTAAGCTTTAATCATTTGCACCAATCTTTATTGGCTTATTTGATAATAATTAGTAAAAAAAAAATTCAATAAAATGCTGAAAGAAAAAAAAAATTCATGACACACTATAAAATTGTTCATGCAAACTAACAAGGATATATATAAATTTTTTTTTAAAACTTGTGGTGCGAGATCTTCTAAGGTAATTATTGATTCAAATAATATGTAATTTAATTAAATTTTAATTTAGTTAAATTTTTAAAATTATAAATTTGAAATATTTTAAATGTTTAATTTTTTTTTCATACAAATTAAATTAATAAATTAAAATTTTTAAAAATTAATCACTTAGATCTTATTTTTTCTTTGAGGTTTTTTTAAAGAATATTCCAAAGCTTAAAAATTGAGATTTCATGTTTTTCCATATCGTTAGGTTTGAGGAAATAAAATTATAAATATACGAAAACACTTCTTTTGGTTTTTTATAAAATTATATACCATTAAAAATTATAATTATAATCAAATAACTTTTAATGTATTAAAAAAAAATAACAAATCAAAATATAATATGACGAAATTCAAATTTGATTGGTTAAAAATTTTTTAAAAATCTAATAATTAACAATTACTCAAACAAAAAAAAATTAAGTGTTTAATAATTTAATCATCTAATTACATATAATACTTATTATTTAATATTTTTAGTGCATAAAATAATAGATAAGACAATAATTTTATATTATATTTAATTTATATCTAATTAATCGTATTGGTATAAAATGATTTAATTTTTCAAAAATAAAAATAACTATTTTTTATTGACGATATTAAATTTATATATTTTATTATAACATTAAGAATTATATTAATAATTTAAATTATATAAATTTTAAAGAGAAATAATTTTCTGTAGCATCTCAACAAGATTTGGTTAACCTTTTTCAACTAATAATAAAATTTTATAATCCAATCAAAATCCACTTTTTGTTGCTAATTATCAACCTTTCCTCCATAATAAAATTCAAACAGCAAACCATAAGAGACAAGACTTAGAACAACAAAACTGGGAATTTTTTATAGCCACTCTTGTCAGCTCCGTAGCAAAATTCTCCACATTATGTAGTGTTTATAAATGGCAACTAATAAAAGGGGCGAAGTACAACATGCTCCAAAGGCAAAGATTAGCCCTAAAACAGTGTTCTTCCCATGCTGACCAGAAGATTTCTTCAGCAGTACCCAAAAATTTTCTATAGCACCTCAAATTTTGGGGCAAAACCATGGAGCCAGATATCTCTAAAGATCTCAACCAAATGGTGAGCAAATTAAAAGAATATATATATATATATATATATATATTTCAACCCTAAAATCATAAATGCGGATAAATTATACACATTTGCAAAGGAATGCATTTCACGATTAGAAAGGCAGCGAAAATTTTGATCTCAAAGCAACAGAAGAAAGCATTGTCATGGCTTGCACAACTTCAAGATGCTCCTTTTTTCCGCCTGCTGCAAAGCACTCTTTCAAATTGTCTACATAATTTTACTTCAATTGTCTAATAAGCTATCAATAAAGAGGGCCTAATCAAAGAATAAACAATCATTTCTTGAATAATTTTGTCACATAGCTTGCAACTTCAATTAAATAAACATCAATAAGAAAGTGAGAAAATTATTATCATGAAAGTCAACCTTTCTTTAAAATGCCAATAATAATCACAGCATCCAACTTTCAAAGATTAAGCATCATAATAACAAAAACCAAGCAATCAGAACTCGTGAGATACATCTCAAAAAAATCACTGAATGATGTTGAAACCATAAATTTAAAATTCCTAATTTAATGTTTTATTTTTAGGCATCTAATCTACAATATTCAATTAACAGTATATCAAAATTTCAATACCATTAATATTCTTACTAAAATACTTTCTAAACAAACAACAGTAATTAATTTCATTAGTTGTTAATGGAGTCAAAGTCAAATTTCTAGTCAGCATCAATTTATGTGGAGAATTATACTTACTCAAAGCAGCATCTTGGTCAATAAGAACCCTTTCTAAGAGTTTATGGACTGCAATACAGTCCTTGAGTTTCCACGCCAGTACTGGTCCAAGTGCCCCATTCCTGGACAAGCAAAAGAGAAAGAAACAATTAATCTCAAGAGTAAGTTGCAAGGCATGGAATCGACATCAAACAGCAAAAATTTTAATGTACACTAAGAGCATTACATTGGCATGACTTTATTGCATGAATCTTCAATTAACTTAACAGCCTCAAGTTTCTTGGTCTGCTCCAAGGTATATAACATTTCTGCAACTCCCACTATATGCATCAAAGATTCTGCAGAACCAAAAAGTGAAATTTGCATGATTATACAACCTACCTCAAGGAACCTAAAATGCATCATGTTATGTAAAGGTCGTAATACCTTCATTTTACCAAGGAAAACTTTGTTCGCCTCACTAAGAGTTTTCTCCTGCAATTGACTGCGGA